TTGATAATTCAGTTATACACTTAAGTATCTAATAGCACCTCAATTATTTTAACAAGTGAGTTTATGAACTACAGTAGATATTTACAGCTAAAATAAAGGAGCTAATGGATATAATAGCAAAAGAATGTATTAAAAGTAAAATCAGTAGCACCTGAGGTAGTCTATAGCACCTGGAGTATTTTAATGGCAAAATAGTGAACTTATTACACTTTAGCCCCTGAGAATAGCACTTTGATTATTTTAACAATTGTGAATATATGAACTGAGGTAGTTATTTAAAGCTAAAATAAGGGAGAAAATATATAAGGGACTAAATTAAGTAAAGGTAAACAAAGTTCAATGGACAGATAATCACTATGATATAATATAATGGCAAAATTGTGAACTTATTACACTTTAGCACCTGAGAATAGCACCTTGATTATTTTAACAATTGTGAATATATGAACTAAGGTAGTTATATAAAGCTAAAATAAAGGAGAAAATATATAAGGGACTAAATTAAGTAATGGTGAACAAAGTTCAATGGACAGATAGTCACTATGATATAATATTGATTTGGGAGTAAGATCTGATTTGTAATGTATAATAAGTTGAGCAATAAACTGCACTATAAAAAGTAGAGAAATATGAGGTAGCTGGTACTAGCTAGCAAAAGATAGTTTTGGGACTCACACAATAATGTAATTGGAATATTCACTAATTGCTCACACAATATAAAGGGGATTAAAATAGTAGTGGTAAGCTGAATTAAATGGCCAAGGGCCACCCACAGTCTATAGTGCCAAGGGCCACCCACAGTCTATAGTGCCGAGGGCCACCCACAGTCTATAGTGCCGAAGGCCACCCACAGTTTATGCTGAAGGCAACCCTTGGATTAAAATCTCTTTGACATCAAGAAACCCACCTTGAGAAGTTGAATGTTTAGTAGTGGTTGATGGCAATATCAGATGGACTGAAATGAACTACAGTATTTAGAAGATCCATCAAATCCATTAGATCCATTAAATGAATACATTTAACTCTCTTAACCCTTTGACTGTCGAAGGGCCAAATCCTGAAGTTGCTTCTGGTGTCGCAAAATATTCGAAAAAAAACAAAATTATTTTTTCTTATGAAATGATAGAGAATCTTTTCCCGATTGTAAAGACACCAAAAAAACGAAATTTGATGGAAAACTGACGGAATTACGCTCTCGCGAAGTTAGCGACTTCTGCGATATTAAAAATCGGCAATTTCGCCACTTTGAGCCCTATTTTCGGCTAATTCCGTTATTCCAGTCAACCAAACTCATAACTATTTTTTTCAGAACTCTATTTTTTCTATCGATTGAGTACAAGAAACTGCCCATTTACCGATTTCAACTACCCAATAACATGGTCAGAAATTTGCAATTTGGCCAATTTCACGAAAATTAAAAAATACGACAATTTCAAAATAAGGTCAGAATGAACAATGCAGACATTCCTGGCTCTAAATAACATTTTCTTTGTTCATCAGTCATGTCTCCAGGTCCCTGTGATATTACTCTTGCTTTTTATTTTGAAATTTTATTCAAACAAAAAATAGAAGATTTACTGTTATGCAGACTACTGCAATACTGTAATAATTGTAAAAATTACATCAACCCATTCATGACTGCGTATTAGAATGGCTATTTGGACATTTATTGGACAATGACATCATTTGTTCACTTTTGAACATCGGCAAAAATCAAACATTTCCTGTACTTTGTGCTCCATTTCCAGGTTCTTTTTATAGTAAAATTAATCAAAATCACCTCCATTTCTATAATATAGTTTCCATTCTATCAAATGAGACCAAGAAAACGAGAATACAACCACAAATACTATACGAAAATAGACCACAAAGTCGGCATTTTAATTAAAAAAAACGGTCGGAGTTTTTTTTTTCTCATTATGCACTGCGTGCTCCAGGATTTTTTTTATGTGGTGCACACTGACCACACAGACCCATTCTCTCACATGTAGGCCTACTAGCTTTCTCCTGCCTGATTTGAAGCCGCTAGAATTTATGAGTATATATACGTCAAACACGGTACCTCGCAAACGTATATATACGGCCGCGACAGTCAAAGGGTTAATGGTCTTCAATTCACTCATTCCCATTTTAAGATTTTTGAGAGTGGAGTTACAAAGTGCATGCCACACAAAAGTTTATTAACACTGGGAGTTCCATTTTTATCCTTAGCAGCACATATGCCCACACCTTTAAAGACCAATAGGTTTTCAAGAGGAATGTAAATACTGTATAAATTGACTGATGTTAAATAACTATAATGGATCCTAAACAGCAAGATCATGCTAAAGTAGCAGAGAGAGAGAGAGAGAGAGAGATGGTACTGAAGAATAGTACTTAACTATAATTGCCAGAATTGTGCTATGGACCACTACCATGTTTGCTGTTGAGATCAGCATTCAGCAGTACAGTCACTAGACCTCTACGACAGAAATGGGACCCTGCAACCTACCTCGACAGATGATTAAATAGGAAGGATTTTTTTTCTTTAGCTTGTAATGGGTGCATTCTCTTGTTAGTCAGTTTGACTGGCCCTCGAGAGAAATCATTTAATGGACAGTGGCCCCACAGTGGCCCTTGGCCTTGTGGCTAACACTTCACATGGCGAGGGTCCTGCTTTCAATTCCCAGCGAGGGTAGAAACATTGGGCATGTTTCTTTACACCGGTTGTCTATGTTTACCCATCAGTAAAATGGGTACCTAGGAGTTAGTCAACTGGTGTGGGTCGTATCCTGTGACAATGACCTAATTTGCCCAAAATGCTCAGCATAACAAGGGGCTTTCTATGTAGTACTGTAGTATGTCAATGATGTCAGCTAGGCCTGTACACCATGTACATGTACTTGTAGTTAATAAAGATTCAGTGGCACCCCGAGTTTCGAACTTTCTTCATTCCAAAAGGTTGTTCAAGTGCCGTTACCAAACGAATTTGTTCCCATAAGGACCTTGGGTGGCTTTAAAAAGAGATTGAACAAATATATGAGTGGGAGGGGCTGGGTTTGATTGGTGTCATTGGGTACAAGAGTAAATTCTTGGGTAGCTTTGGGTAGAGGTCGTTTTGATAAGGACCTCTCTTGCATGGGCCAGTAGGCCTTCTGCAGTGTTCCTCCATTATTATGTTCTTATGTAGTGTAAATTAGATTAATCCATTTCAGACCCCCAAAATGACACTTACAAAAGCACTTACAATAATACATTTACATAATTGGTTGAGTTGGGAGCAGTTCAAAACTCAGGGTACCACTGTATTATTATTATTATTATTATTATTATTATTATTATTATATTATTATTATTATTATTAATTGCCTAAATATAAGCAGTTCCTCTTAACCAAAGTAGTCGGGATAGTTCATACAAACTGTACAGCATCTCAATGAATGGTGAAAAAATGCTATCGTTTATATCTTTAGCTCTTCCATCATCGGTCAAATCATATCATGGAATCAAACCTGCACATACTGTAGTGTAGAAATTAAAAAAAAAAATTTTTTTTTTGTTCAATACAACTTGTGAAAAGGTACAATACTGTATCAGAGGAGTGACAGTGTTGTGAAGGTGGCAAGGAACTATGTAATACAAAGATACCATGACAATGTAAAAGTATTTTTAACTCAGGCTGACATGTGACTCTTTAATTATTATTATTATTATTATTATTATTATTATTATTATTCAAAGGGAAGCGATAAACTCGTAGGGATCATGCAACATTTGGGAAGTAAGAAGTAATTAGGTTCAATCCAAGGAAGGAAGAAATCTTCAACTCACTTGAACACGATCCCATCACTGGCATGGAGTCACCTCCCTTGAAGGGATGACTATACCGAATGAATGAACAAACAGTTAATGAGATATGCATAATGACACTATATATGAAAACTATGCAAAATTAAAAAAGTATAGTATAACTAGGCACAGTTCAAGGTTAATTAACCAATTAATATGGATGCACTGTTGAACACCACAGTACCGTGTCCTCCTTTGCAGATGACAACGGAATTTGTGTGACAGTGTCATCCATCAAAGACACTGCAAGTCTCCAAGCAGACATCAAGTAAATCTTTAAATGGGAAGCAAAAAACAATATGAAGTTCAATGAAGACAAATTTCAATTATTCCACTATGAAAATCTCAATGAAATTAAAACTCCAACCACACAATGCAGTGAAAAACTAATGTGAAGGACCTGGGAGTGATAATGTCAGAGGATCTCACTTTCAAAGATCACAATAATGTATCTACCACATCTGCCAGGAAAATGATAGGATGGATAATGAGACCCTTCAAAACTAAGAATGCCAAGCCCATGATGACTCCTCAAATTGCTTGTTCTCTCTAAGCTGAAATATTTCTGTACACTAATGGCCTCTTTCAAGGCAGGCAAAATTACAGACCTGGAGAATACACAGAGAACTTTCACGGCACGTATAAGTATAATAAAGCACCTAAATTACTGGGAACTGTTGAAGTCCCTTGCCTGGAATGCAGGCAAGAAAGATACATGATAATATACACTTGGAAAATCATGGAGGGACTAGTCCCGAAGCCGCACATGAAAATCACTCCCTATGAAAGCAAAAGACTTGGCAGGAGATGCAACACTCACCCAGTGAAAAGCAGGGGTGCCAGAGGTACACTGAGAGGCAACACAATAAGTGTCAGAGGCCCAAGACTGTTCAACTGCCTCCCAGCATACATTAAGGGGATTACCAATAGACCCCCAGCTGTCTTCAAGAAGGCACTGGATATGTACCTAAAGTCAGTACCTGACCAGCTGGGCTGTAGTTCATACATCGGTTTATGTGTGGCCAGCAGTAACAGCCTGGTTGATCAGGCACTGATCCACCATGAAGCCTGATCAAAGACCAGGCTGCAGTGGCACTGACCCCCAAAACCCCCTCCAGGTATACTCCAGATATACATAATAACAGCAAATAAGACATTAGAGATTGCCTTACATCAAATATTTTCAGAGCATCTACTTCATCAGAGTAAGAAAATAGCCGCCATCGCATTGCTCCTGATCGTTTTACAAGAAAATGTTGTGACAGCATTCTAACTGCAGTCAAATCTTCAACTGGAACTCCTGCTGGCTCTAATTCTGGATTGAATGGGACTGCTTCAGGAAAGTTGGAGCCTGGTATACCAGCAGGAACTGAAGGCGGACCAGAAGGCTCTGTTGAAAAGCATAAAGAACAAAATTATTCTGGTTTTTACTGTTAAAATATGTATAGAATGTCTTAAAAGTACTACTTTTACCATAAAAAAATTAAAACGATATGACCTTATTAGGTATAGTATATAAGGGGATGTACGAGAGCATAGTGGTACAAAAAACCTTTATATGGGTGTGAAGCATGGGTTGTAAATGCTGCAGCAAGGAGGAGGCTGGAGGCAGTGATATCATGTCTAAGGGCAATGTGTGGTGTAAATATTATGCAGAAAATTCGTAGTGTGGAAATTAGGAGGCTTAGAATTTCTAACAGTATTAGTCAGAGGGCTGAAGAGCATATAAATCTTTAGATGAAGGAAGGCAGGATAGGGGTCATAATCAGAAAGGTTGGAGGGAGGGGGTAAAGGAGGTTTTGTGGGCAAGGGGCTTGGACTTCCAGCAAGCATGCATGAACGTGTTAGATATGAGTCAATGGTGACGAATTATTTTTGGGACCTGACGAGCTGTTGGAGTGTGAGCAGGGTAATATTTAGTGAAGGGATTCAGGGAAACCAGTTATTTTCATGTAGCCAGACTTGAGTCCTGGAAATGGGAAGTACAATGCCTGTACTTTAAAGGAGGGGTTTGGGATATTGGCAGTTTGGAGGGATATGTTGTGTATCTTTATACATATATGCTTCTAAACTGTTGTATTCTGAGCACCTCTGCAAAAACAGTGATTATGTGTGAGTGAGGTGAAAGTGCTGAATGATGATGAAAGTATTTTCTTTTTGGGGATTTTCTTTCTTTTTGGGTCACCCTGCTTCAGTGGGGGACGGTGACTTGTTAAAAATATAATAATAAATAAATAAATAAATAAATAATATAAATAATATTAAAATATAATAAATATATATATATATATATATATATATATATATATATATATATATATATATATATTATATATATATATATATATATATATATATATATATATATATATATATATATATTATATATATTATATATATATATATATATATATATATATATATATATATATATATAATATATATATATTATTATATAATATTATAGTATATTTTATATATTGTACATAATATATTTATACCAATATATACTACTATATCATATATATACTTACATAAGGTACGGGCCCAATCTACGGCGGGCGTTAGGTTCCAGGTACCGCCTATAAGGCGGAAACCGCCCGCCATAAAGTGGAACACCCTTTTTTTCCACTTACAAATGCATACAAACACTAGATAACAAGTTTACACTAACAATATATTATGTTAGCAATAGAACCAGGCATCAAAAAAACAATAAAAAAGTACAATACACACATAGTGCACTCATTACTTACCTTAAAAATATTTATAGTCTTAATCTAGGGTGAGACAAGTAGTATTTATTGTAAGAAATCAAGTGTGGTATGTATGGTAGTCAGCAGGCTACCATACCAGGCCACCCACCCACACATACTTTTCTATGATATTTAAGCATCCCAGAGCGATAAAATGTATATACAGTTCACTCATTACTTACCTTAAAATATAGGGTGAGATGAGTAGTATTTATTGTAAAATATCAAGTGTGGTATGTATGGTAGTCAGCCAGGCTACCATACCAGGCCAACCCACCCACACATACTATTCTATGATATTTAAGCATCCCAGAGCGATAAAATGTATATACAGTTCACTCATTACTTACCTTAAAATATAGGGTGAGATGAGTAGTATTTATTGTAAAATATCAAGTGTGGTATGTATGGTAGTCAGCCAGGCTACCATACCAGGCCAACCCACCCACACATACTATTCTATGATATTTAAGCATCCCAGAGCGATAAAATGTATATACAGTTCACTCATTACTTACCTTAAAATATAGGGTGAGATGAGTAGTATTTATTGTAAAAAATCAAGTGTGGTATGTATGGTAGTCAGCCAGGCTACCATACCAGAGAGAAAGAATGAGTGCATGAGAGAGGACAGGTGCAGAGTTATGTAAACAAACCAGGCGACGATAAGTTTTGTAAACAGTGTACACGTCTGGTTTGTGTACAAGTTACATTGTGTACAGGTTGTCTCTACATTGATACGGTAGAATAAATAAAGAAGAACACTCCCATTCTCATGTAACATCATTTTGAGAAGAAATGATGCTCTGAGTGAAGGCAATGGAAGTAAGTCACTCTGACTTTTTTGGGTTATCCTAGGTTCTCTACACATATGTTGTTATGTATTTATGTTATGTATGTGTTTATTATATAATTTTTAAAAAAAAATATCACGGATGGAAATTAAGGAAAATCGTTATTTAACTTTAATATACAACATTAATGATACACCAGCAGACTGGTAAACAATGACATGGTTGTGGAGAATACATCGGTTCAGGCAAATAGTTTTATTCATGTACATTGTAGTTTTAATTAACCTTTAATATTTTAAGTTTTGATAAATTTTACCTTATAAATACAGTGGACCCCGCTTAAAGTATGGCATCACATAGCAATTATTTCGCAACGATTACTTTAATTTCAAAAATTTTCCTCACAGTACCGTTAAAAACCCGTTACCGATTTCTTCCGAGCGCTTCACATGTTCCGCCGGTGCTTGTTTACCAGCACTTCAATGGTTAACATCAAGATACAATGGAATATTTTCGTATTATAAGTGTTTTCGGTATTTTTTGGAAAATAAGTAGATAAGGCCCCAAGAACTTCTAGTGCAACCTACAGCATAAGGGCCCAGAATTACTATATTAGAGATGAATGAAAAAGATATTGATAAGTATAATATGGGTGCATGTCGAGCTGGCCATGGTTGTATAATAAACCCCTATCAATCCATCACATATTGGTGGTACAGTCTGTGCTAGCTTTGATAAGTCATGCTGTCTAAATGTAATAGTTACTGACTTTGAACCGTTTTGGTGGCTTATAAGGAATACCAAGGAAAAATTAACCCGAGGTTTCCACCCAGGATAACCCAAAAAAGTCGAGTGTCATCGAAGACGTCTAATTTGTCCATTGAGGTCCTTATCTTATCCCAGGCTGCAAACCCAACAAGTCGACAACTCCCGGTACCAGGGCTTAAGGAACTGCCTGGAAATGTTGTCATATTGGTGAATTTCAAAGCCAGCAAAGGTTGGTTTGAGAGTTTTAAGAATCGTAGTGGCATAAAGTGTGATAAGGCCTGTTCTGGAAGAAAATGCCAAACATGGACTACGTACTCAGGAGGAAAAGCACTCCCAGGACACAGTGTCTCATCAGTCATTGTTCCTAGTCATAAGTGTCCATGTATTCTCTTTAATTGTAGACTAGTACATGACAATTTACTGTTGCATGTAACTCTCTACTTTGTGCTGTATCCTTCTCTTTGTGTTGGAAAGTATATTTCATGTGGTAAAAATTTTTTTTTTTATACTTTTGGGTTTCAGGATTAATTTTCATTTCATTGTCTATGGGGAAAATTCTTCACATAACGATTATTTCCATAACAATTACCCTCTTGCACGATTAATTCCTTAACGGGGGGTTCCACTGTATTTTTATTATTATTATATTTAAATTAAATCATGAAACAATTTCTCTTACACTGTGTACAAGTTTGTACAGAATTTTTAGCTATAAAGTGAAGGCATTTCGAAAGGAATATTTTTCTACAGTTATCCCCAGTAAACAGGTGACGGGCTAGAGAAAACGTAATTTTTTCCGACACTTCTACAAACCCTTTGGTAAACATCTCGTTTTATATTTGTATAAATTTTTATACTGTGGGTGCATGTATCATGTTTGTGTGTTACATAATGTGTTTTTAAATAATTTTGAAAAAAAAAATCTAGATTGATTAAGGGAAATGTCTATATTAACGTAATATGCGACATTAATGCGCCCAAGAGATTATTATTATTACTATTATTATTATTTATTATTTTTATTATTATTATTTTGCTCCAAGAGTAGAGAGACTCTTGTGATTTTATGTGTACCTACATGCCAGCACAGTGTTTTAAGTTTATTTAGGTACAGGTGTACACAAGTTTAATTATCAAGTACAATACATATAAAATATAAAATAACTTTAAAACACTTGAAATTTTGGAAAGTTTCCAGACATAATAAGGAGATGTGCTCAGGGAGAATGTAAACAAACTCGGTGGGCCGCTGTGACCGTATTAGAAAGACAGGTGGGGGGAGCCGTATAGCGAGTTTTGGTCATAATTTGAAATGTCCGTATTAGCGGAACGCTGTAGCGAAACGCCATAAAGCGGGGCCCTCCTGTATCTCTGCTCCCTCTTTAAGGACCCACGGAGAGATGTTGTCTGGTCCCACCGCCTTTGAGGTGTCAAGTTCGCATAGCAGCTTTTTCACCTCCTCCTTGGTTATATGTACCTCATCCAGCACTTGCTGGTGTACCCCCCTGTTCTGATTTCCTGGAGTCCTACTGGTTTCCACTGTAAACACTTCTTTAAATCTCGTGTCGAGCTCTTGACATACCTCTCGGTCGTTTCTTGTGAACTCCCCATCACCCTTCCTCAGTCTGATTACCTGGTCCTTGACTGTTGTTTTCCTCCTGATGTGGCTATACAACAGCTTTGGGTCAGACTTGACTTTCAATGCTATGTCATTTTCACATTGTCACTGAGCCTCCCTTCTTATCTGTGCATATTCGTTTCTGGCTCTTCGGATAATCTCTTTATTTTCCTGAGTTCTCTGTCTTCTGTACCTTTTCCATTCTCTAGTACACCTAGTTTTTGCCTCCCTACACCTTTGGGTGAACCAAGGACTCGGTCTGTTCTTCCCATTATTTCTGTTTTCCTTGGGAACAAACCTCTCCTCTGCCTCCTTGCATTTTGTTGCCATATAGTCCATCATTTCTTGTACTGTTTTTCCTGTCAGTTCCCTCTCCCACTGAATGTCTTGCAGGAAGTTCCTCATGCCTGAGTAGTTCCCCCTTTTGTAGTTTGGTTTTTCCCAACCTATTCCT